TTTTTTATATAATAATAGAATAGAATATAGGTTCAAGGTAAAATTATGTATGTATACGTTCAATGTTTTATGTACCTATACAGTATCATTATATTATGTACCTACATTGTGCACACTGTATACATCTATTTGTGTATATTATTTAGTTTTTGAAGGATAATAACACTTATTTAATACCTACTCAAAAAAACGAACACTACGGTAGTTTTCATGACCATGTGGTCGGTGCTATGCATTTAAAAATAATAATAATATTATTAAATATGCATTTTATATTCAGATAGGTAGGTAAATAATTATGATAATTTAAATATATTGTAATGAAAAATCTAGTACAACAGCTTTTTAAAGCAATAATAATGATAATTTAGGTAGGCAAGTCTGTACATCATATTTCTAAATTAAAAATACGAGATCGAAATTACGCGCAACGTTAATAATGAAACAATAATTACCTATAATAAAATTATGCATTTTGTACATATTAATTTTCTAAAATGCAGTCAGTTATTATATCCCTGACCTTTACTGGGCCGTTGTGATACATAAGGTTAGGTAATTAGTGTAAGTGTAGGCATATTGAGGAATTGAAAAAAAACTACGAACTAAAAATATATCCAAGTGGTTTGAATTAAAAAAAAAAAATAAAAACATAATATGATTTCTGGATGAATATTTCAAAATATAGTGAATATATAAGATACCTACGGCTGTCATACATACAAATACTTCGGTGATTAGGTCGTTATAGATGTTATCTATTGTATATAAGTATTCTCCAGGTATCCAACTAAATACTGTAGTGATTATACGTATATTATTGAGACAATAATAATTCAGAATTTGAATTATTTTGAAGTTTTTAATGTTTGAATTGAAATTTGATTTAGTTAAATAATTAAAAATTAAAATTATTATTAATTCATGACGTAATCGCATAAGAATTGCATCGTCCTTTGCTATTTCCTTAATGATATTATTGTAGTAGGTACTTTTTCAATAACAAAATATCCAATTCGAGTACTTTTTATAGAAATATATTGTATTACATATTGCATTGTTACAAAGTATAAAAAGATAACTTTTAAGGTTATTGACGTATTAAAAATTAATCTATTACAATGATAATTTATATAATTAAAATGCGAATGTATTTGTTTTTTTTTTAGCGATCTTAAGAATGTTTAATTCCTTTGGACTTGGATGTTGGTTCAGGGCAATTTTCTGTAAGGCTATAACTATGAAATAGCTTAAGTGATTATTTCTGGTAGATAGTAAACACACAAGCAATTTTTTTTTCTGTCAGTTATAAAAAATGTTAAAACTTATTTTAGCATAATTTTAAATCTGTATACTTTTTCATTTATCATCTTTTTGCTCATGGGCCATGGGTTAAATCATTAATATAACCATTATTGATTAATTTTAAATGGAAAATTTTTATTTAATTTTTCTAAATAATCTGATCCGATATAAAAATATGTTGTTCAGGTTTATGCTAATAATAGTGATCTGAATATTATAGTCATAGAGAAATACTTATTTTATAGTTTAGAATTTTTAGATCAGTGGTGATCAAATTCGGTCTGCGAAAATTTATTAATCGGCCCACCAAAGTGTTAAATCGAAATTGGAAAAAACTTCAAATTTCAAAAATAAAAACTCATATTAAAAAAATAAAAAATATGCTTATACTATACATTTTTTCTCATTTATAACAATCAATACAAAATAAATAATTAAATATATCACTGTATCTATAGAATTACTATAGGGCCTATAGTAAGGACAGTTAATGACATTGTCAGTAAATAATACCTACCTATAAATAAAAATAACAATAATTTGTATATTATATCCAGTAGGTTACTGTGAAATATTTAGAACAATATAATCTGAATTCGAAATAATAACCATCTCTTTATTCCTTGGATTGGGGGGAGCAAGGATTTAAAATAAAAATGCCGTAATTTTTACTATTTCCTTCAAAATTTGATCTGAAAATGCTTATGAAAAAATACCTTCTACATTACGCAAAACTTTTTTTTCATCACTAAGTACAACTTTAATGAACCACAAGTTAAATTTGCAATCCTTTTTATTTAGTCAAACAATTTTAAACACATACCCTTACCAAAAAAAACTAAAAAAACAATACATGTAAAATGCTTATAAATAGCTCGAAAACCTTGAAAATATTAACATGTCTAAAAAATACCAATATAATTATACTGTACTAAGTGTTAGATCTTTACAATTATTTTTAACCAAATTACAACAATAAAACAAAACCAAAAAAAAAAAGGACATACTTCGCACAATAGGTAGACCACTGTTGTAGGTAAGAAATTGGGAAAATTTAATTTACATCGGTACACAACGATAAATAATTGCTAACCAAAAATGATTCTGATAAAATCATAAAATTACTTCATCAAAGCACTAAATTCAAATTTACTGAATAATAAATATTATAATGGTATAAATAATATTCATATGGAAAAAAGAAAAAGAATACATATTAATTTCGATTAAATAAATAATAATAAAAAATAGCTACAATGTGAATGGCTACAAGGGCGAAGGACGGTAAGGTTTAACAACGTTGGTTTTTTACTAGTAGGTATAACAATATACTTATCGTCAAAGTGGATCCACCCAATGCTTTTATTGTTATAATTAATACAAAACACAAAAATATTGTATCATAAATTATGATTAATTGACAGATATTATACAGGTTTTTACTTATTTTTTTATAACGAATATACCTACTATTATTGTTCTTTATAAACACGTTATTACTGTTATTAACAAATTATAAATATTAATTATTATTATCGGAACTGATAATTTACAGTGTGTTTGACCTTATTTACATTTTAAACAGATTCAGCTTTCTCGTATCATAGGTCAAATTTAAATAAATTATATTTCAACAATATTATAATGAAATATTTGTTAACCAAAAATGTTTTGTATGCAAATTGTTCAATTAATCTAGAATTGAATCACGACGCTAATAGTTACTTAATATCGTAATATCAATGATTTTTTTTTGTAGCAGTTCCTATTTGTTTTGACATTTAAAATCATATAAATTCAATTTTTTTTATCTAATAATATACGAAATATTCACTTGATGTTAATTTAGCGCATTTCAAAAGTTTTTCAAACACAGTGAATGATAACTATCTTTCTTCTTCCAATACTTCTTTTCCTTTAAAATATAAATTGCAATAATCAATATTTATATTTAATTATTTTTTATTTTATGACCTAAAAATTCTAGTTTCCGAGATTCTGTGGTTATAATTAGAGCAGAGAACTTGTAGCTCTAAAAAAACACTAAAAATGTGTGCATACGTGCTTAAAAACTTTATAATATGCACTAACGATAGGCTCTAATATATTATTTAGTGCTTTAATTAAAAATATATAAAAATGTAGGTATTTAAAATTTTGTTAATACAATTTAGTTTTAAATAATGACTTTTTATTGATTTAATTAGTCAATTAATTGCATTGTATGTAATGTAATATATAATGTAGACTAATATTTATTTTTTATGGAAAAATATGATGAATTTAAAAAATTAATAAATATTAATAGTTTGCTATCGTTTATGAAATCGTCATCTTCCTATCGGAATTCCATGACAGATAACGTGTTTACTGTTTGTAAATAAAATTATAACCGGAAAATTAATCTAATCGGCAGGCGTTTCTAAGAATAGGAATACGCGAATAGTCAACCGTCATATTATTATATCATACAAATTATTTAAATAAAACAATTTGGGTTGTATTATTCAATGAAATAAAAAAAATGAGCACTGAAAATAGAAATCTCGAAGTACGCATTTATATTCAAAATAAAATTAGAAATCTAGCTTTGTCTAAAGATAAAACGTATTAGTTTCTTACGTTAGTATTTTTTTGATTGTATAAAAAAATTAATAAACGTTACATGTTCTCTGTCCTAGTAATTATATACTTCCTTCGCATTTTTTTAACTACTCTTAATCAAGTTGGATACACTGTCCATGGAATATTTAGAATTCGACGATACCAACAGCTAAATTTCTAGAGTCTCAAATTTTTCTTATTAATATTTCTGTCATTATCCAAGTTTCAATTCCATATAATAATATTGGGAAGAAGTAACCATCATAGCAGTCTAGTTTTAGTACCAAGTGGAAATCGTGATATTGAAATACCTAGGTACATTAGACATTTTTCGAAATGCAATTCTGGTCCTTTTAATCTTGAATTATAACAATAAAAAAAATATTCGAAAAATACGAAAAAATTACTATTTTATTTTATTCAGTTTGATATTTATTAATTTAATAAGTAACGGGGATTTAAATTATATTACAAAGCATTTTATGATCATCTTGCGATTATGAAAAAATTGAAACTAATTAATAATATTCAAACACGGTTAATTGCTTAAATCGAGCTTATAATAAAAATCCGAATATAAATAATATATTTTTCTTTTTATTGTTTATTTCCGTGTTGTACTATCACTATTATCATTCAAGAAGAACGAAGGTTAGGCAGGCCGTTGAACATTTGTTTAATTCTCTATACACTCAGTGCGGGTAATCATAATCGTAGCTAGTATGGTCATAAAAGACGACTATAAACTTTAGTGCCTTGGCCGTTCGAAAAATTAATAAATATTAAATATTCGTACGTTTGTTATGACGTGTAAGTATGCGTTGGTGCGTGCGCATTATTATTATTATTAAATAGTACGCATGATGTAACAATATTTCGTGCGGCGTCGAGGACGGGTATGACGAGAGAGGGGTATTCCGCCGCGACTGGATTAATAATACGGCCATGTAAGCAATAAGCAATCCGGCAACGTCGCACCCTCCTTCACGGGAGGGGCGACCCGCAGCCGCTGCTTACCGCGTAACCGAAGACCGTGGATGCGGCGGCAGGCGTCCGGGTACACCGTACGCAACGGTCGGCCGTCCCCCGTGCTCTGCCCTCGCGAGACAGCCAGTGATGTGATCGTCAGCGTGTGTTTGCGCGCAGCCCACAGATCCAGTCTTTTTTCCTGCGATACAATATACGCGTGCGCGCGCACCCGCTGTCCCACACGGTCATGATGTACGGAACGCGCGACGTGCACACGTTACAATATCGCCCGGCAAAAAGAAAAAATAGACGGGCGCGGTGCGGAGGAAAATTCCCGCACCGCGACCGACGGTAATGCAGTTCAACGGACTGTGCCGCGGTCGACCCGGCGCCGAGTGTACAAAACTACGAAAAACCGCTCGACCGGTATTATGATGCATTTCTATCATCGACGGGCGCGCTTCGGATGTATTACGTGTGGTAGTCTGTAGGTAGGTACCACTGACACTGCGCGTGTACGCTTCTACAATAATATTGTGGTGATATCGTTCCACGCCTGCGACGGTCTCGAGTCGTCGTGGGATACCTATAATTTGGCCATTGATCAAATAATAATACACAAGTCCTCGTTTAATTCCATTCCATAATATACGTTATACACGTTTGTGTGCACCAATACCTATTGTTCATTTTTTGTTATGGCGTCGCATCTGGTACTCGGGTTGGACAATCGTTTTTACTAATACTTAACGTTGCACCCGATAACAGGATTCGCGTGAATGCAATTCGTACACAATGATAATATAAAAAGTTGACTGCATACTGATATATTATACTCGTATTAATACGTAGTTATTAAATAAACAGAAAACGATGATGGTGTACATAGGATACCAAACAATAGAAACTCAAGGACATATTAAATTTACGTCACTTTTATAGTAACAATGCTAACAATACATTTTCTTCTTCAAATTCTACTATCGGAAATTTGATTGCGATTTATACAATAATAATAAACAGGACAAACTGCACCTATATGGCTATAGGCTATTATATATATATATATAGTTACTGATTATAGGTAGCTATTAATTATAGTGAAGTACAGAAATAACAGGAAGGGGAGATTTTGAACATTTATAAAAGGCACACTCCTATTTATGATTAAGACGAGCTCAATGATGAGTGATCACTCCCATTTCCCGCCCTGGATCCATCATTGCCTATAGAAAATTGTTAAGAATGAATTATCTATAATAAATAATATTTATTATAATTGTGGATATACTAAGTGTCATAAAAACCGGGGGTACAAACAAGGTATAACCTAATAGAAAATAGTAATTTTTTAAGGAACTATTAGTATGCGGGCTACATACAATTGATTTGCACCACAAAAAGGTACCTACTAACATTAACATTATTTTTTATCACTCTAATTTTTGAGATACCATCTACATTTGATTTTCAAATGGCAATCTATATTAAAAATTCCATAAATATATGGAGTATTAGTTAAAATAATACATTTTGGTGCTAAAATGTTTGATTTCTGTTAATTATCTGTCTTGGTGTTTATTTATTTATTTTTATTATCATATATTTTATCAATAGTATATATCAATGATTACCTTTCAATCTCTAAAAGGATTTTAGATTCTGATTTGAATGTACTGGTTTTATTAAGTTTTTCATTTTTTATTTATCTTTGAATAACTAAAAAAATTCTATCAGAGTGTAGTAAGATCCACTATTGTATGGTAGATGTCAATATAGAATGGAGAATGAGAATGCTTAGTTGAACGAGTGGAATGAAGAGAGAAGATAGTACAGAGTAGATGTGAATAGCATAGGCGTGGCTTTGATAACAGATAAAATAAAATATGACAGATTTGGGCATACCATGATAAGAAAAGAAAGACCGCAAAAAGGATTAATTGAATGCGCTTATGATATGATGACAGTGGATGCATGCATGACTGATAATGGGTGTACCACTGTTGTAGGTAAAAAGTAGGATACATAATGTTATTTCATATAAATCTGTAAAAAATAATAAACCATTGCTAATGAATAATGATTCAGAACAATATTTGGGTAAACATATTTAGAAATACTGTTAATTTTACAATTTGGAAAAGGCAAATTATGCTAGACTTTCTATTTTTTACCATTAAATGTAACTTATGGTGTTGAATTTTCTAACATTTTGGTTATGCCAAAAAATTAAAATCACATAAATTGAAAAATAATACAGGAAATGCCGCAATATTTTAGATTATGAGCATATTTATTTCTGTCTGAGAAACAACTCAGGTAATAGGTATGGATAATATAGTTTACACTAAAAATTATTATTAATTTAACATTATAACTTTATACTTGTACTTAATGATAAAAACAAAAATAGTTGAGCGCAATGTAGAAGTTTTTTTTTACATAAGCGTTTCAAATCTTAAATTTTCAATCTTAAAAATTACAGCATTTCAAGATGTGTAAAGTTAAACTTCACTCAGAATCACTTTTCATTACTTACAGATATGAAATAAATAATATACATTCTATCTCTCCACATACAACAATGGTACAGTTGTCCGTCTTCCAAGTATCAGCTCTTTTTTATACGATTATTGTCTACATTTCATCTGAAAACACATTAATAAACACTAAGGACAAATTATGACGAATTTCGTGTAAAATTCTCAAGCATTTTTGATCGGCCAAATAATTTATCTACTAAAACAATAAAAAAAAAAAAATTGAAATTGTAAAATGTCTATAATTAGCTCAAAAAAAAAAAAACAACAGAATATTATACAAATTTGAACACATCTATAAAAGTATAATATAGTGTATGCTGTGTAAATGTTATTTTTCACCAAATTCCAAAAAAATAATAAAATTGTTATTTCTGTAACCTTTTTCAGTTTTACTCAGTTATTAAGAAAATATTAAGTTAAATAATGACTTCTTAATACACTAATGAGGGAAAATTTATGCTACTCTTAAAATTTGAAAAAAAAAAAAAAAAACAAATCGAAATTAATAAAACTTTTATTTTTGTATATTTGTCTGTTTTTCCTACAAGTTCCTTTGAGATATTTCATAATTATTACGAAAATTGATGGAAAACAGATTTTCTAATGCACCAAATAGAGACAAAATTCAACATAAAAGATTTCTTGTAATTTTTTGATTGGTGTAAAATGTTTGATAAGAAAAATGGTTTAAACAAAAAAAAAAATAAAACACATTATACTAAAACCAATACATTCTTTGCTATGCTCAAAATCTAAAATAAAATGATATTTACCATCTATATTGAACAGTTATAATCTCTAAAATAATTAAATGTATACAAATAAAATTAGTAAAAAATAACCTAATAATTTTATAAATATGGTATTATTTTGTTGAGTGTTTATTCATGGAATATGTATACTATCCCATTATTTGCCTGGAAATGCAATGAAATTGCTGTCAATATATTTTTTTAAATTTTAATTTGTATAAATATAATTATTTTTATTTAGTATTGGAAATATAAAATTAGTAAAATTCTTTTAAATACCTACTGTTATTTATGATGACTTTTTCTTTAAATAATATTTTTACTTAATTTAATCTGGGTAATTTCACCTCTTTCGAGTTACACATGAAAAATAATAATAATTAAAAACCAATATTAATAAATTATAAAAATATTATGTATATTTTCCAGATATTATGTTTTGCAACTCTAATACTTTCATTGTAGATGGTTCAGCCGTAGTTTCTGATCAGAAGTCAAGAAGGAAATGGTTTCCGATTTCTAATTTGAATACGGTATTGGGCTCGCCGTGCACAGTCACTATATCCAATGTGCACGTTAGATAAGCAGGCTACGAGTTTCATTCTGATATATTCTGTAAATCATTAATCAACTTTACTTGTATTACTTTTAATTTATAAATGAAGAAGAGGGTCTAAACATCCTCTTTTGAAGGATTAAAAATTTTGTCTTAGGTATTGTTATTATTACTATATAGTTTTAATGATTAAGTGTAGAATACCTAGGTACATTTTGTGAATAATGCTGTACATTGTTATTTATTCTTAGTTTATAAAATATAGATAATATTAAACCTACCAGAATCATGTATGCACACTATACACTTCTTGAATGGCATTATAGTGAAGAATAACAATTAGTCAATGGATTCGAAATTCGATCACAATAAAATTCAATATGAACAACCAGATGATCGGTTAAAAATTTTTAACTTTTAACACTGTGATGTTATTCTTCGTGACCAGAAACTAAGTTATCAATAGGGTAGGAAGTAAAACTTCCTCTCTAAGCTACCGCGGAAGATAGCCCTATGTCCTTTAATTATCTTCTAAGGCTATGGCTCCATCTATAATATATGTTCTAAGGTGGTTTGGCATAGAACGTCACACAAGTATCTATAAACAAAATATTTATTTATAAGTATTAACAATTTTCATAATTTTGTTTTTACTTTATTATTTTATTATAAAGTATTTATATTTCTAAATGTGTCAAAAACATAACAAATAATAATAAATATTAAATCATATACAATAGAATGTATTTAAAGGTTAGGTTACTAAACCCTCCTAAAAAAATATAAGTAGATAATAAAAACATGGATAGGTCATACGTCTAGGCGGCAGGATCCAGAACACAATTGTCATCTTTTACTACTTGGTAGATTTATCTACATATTGAAAAGGAACCGTGATAATGATGTATGTCATTTCCAAGATAATTTTTTTCAATTAAAATTATATTACATTTAACATTTAGAATGTAGATTGTAATATATTCACGGAGTAAATAATAATTATAATTGCGAATTTGAGACTTGATCAAGGCATACTACCATCATTTTCTAATCTAGGTAAATACGAGGATAAAAAATAGGCGTATCTTATTATTTAAACTATAGACGTCAACATGCGACTTAATATCAATTTATTGGAAACAGATTAATACTTTAACTAAACTTATATAATTTTAATAGATTAGATTTAAAAAATATACAAAAATGTACCTATATTATATTATAAAGTTTTCGTAACAAAAACATGTGCACAAGTAGAGATGACCTGTTCATATTTTTATTTTCTCTGAACAAACAAGGGCTTCATTATATTAGTTCATAGTTATCAGAAAGTTACAAAATATAAATAAGAATACGTACTAAAGAACAAACGACTGCAAATCACAAAATTAGTCGATTAAACGTAACGATATACATTGGTGCTTGGATAATAACGACTCGAAAAAGCTAGATATAAGAATTAAAGGAGTCGACGGGTCGGTGTGGGAAATGGCGGTAGAGTTGGAGGTGGATTAGCAGCGGCTACAATTTCCCTTACTGTTACCGCCAATAGTTTTCTCTGCATTCTTAAAAAAACGAATAAAAAATGATTTATTAATTATTTGATATAGGTTACGGGGTATTTAAAATGACTCACAAACTACATAACGCGGGGAGCAACTCTCAGGCAATAATCTAACCTAACAAACGATAGAGTTGTGGAGCTCATGACTCGCGAGTCGTAATAATCACGAGATTGCTAGATTGTTGCTCGACAACATCACCTGTTCGGCGCGACAACATGCTTGGACGTCATTTGGTCTATCCATCAGTGTGCGAATGTGCGTAGTAAAGTTGTAGTGGGGCGCGCTACTATAATCATTGACCTAATTTTACCTTGATATAGTTCTGATAAGAATTATAAGTGATAATTGTAATTAAGGAGTTCGAACTCTAACCTCAAAAGAAAGCACCAGAAAGACGTTCTAGGATAATAAATACGGGTGGAGTCACAATTATAGGTAATTTAATGTATATCTGTAAGCGACGATAAACCATTGTTAACGAAAAACGATTCTGAGCGCAGTTTAGTTGATAGTGATGCTTTGTCAATAATATATATGTCATATTATGGTAAAATAATTAAATAAATATTATATATTTTCTTTAATATTATTGGTTTAATATTGTACCGATTTTCCCACTTATTTGGAAAACTCTTGGGAAAATCGAAAAATTACGTCCCTTAAGTACCTTTCCAGTAAGATTTTCGTTCAAAATGAGTGCTATCATTTTAAATCGCAACAAAGTTGCTGGTAGAAAAGTTGTACACAAAAAAATAATGCCATAATATATTTTAACTTATACTTACATTTCGTACATTTTCTGTTTTTCCGACATTTTATCCCGATTTTTTCTAGATATTATGAAAACCGTTTGAAAAACCAAAAAACGACTTCTCTAAATTACCATGGAGATAAAATTTTCTTTCAGAAAATAAGCTACACTTGATACATCGGAGTAAGATTTATGGTAAAAGAGTTTACACAACAAATCGAGGGGTATTTTGCAATTAAAATAGTCTGAGAGAGCAATAGCTTGGGTCTCCTCCATAGTGCACATCTATTATATATTTGTTTTTTTTCTTGTTTAGGTAAAAGGGAAAAAAATGCAAAATATTTTTTTCGTCACATTATGGTTTGAAATCGGTACCCCTATAATATTAGGTATAAATAACTATAAGATTACGACAAATATGCTTTAAGGAGGCCATTATTAAGTTATTTAACATAACATATAATATTAGAACTTCAAAAAGCTATAATTTCAAAATTTAGTCAGTCTGTCTTATTCTGATTCCACAATCGTTCTTAAATCGGCAATATACTTATGTTCTGAAAAAAAAAAAATTGAAAAAAATTTGTTTATTAACAGCTTTAGAAAAATTCGTCGAACATGGTGAGATACTCTGTATATTGTTTATTTTAGATTCTTACATAATGATTACTACTATTATGTGTTTGTTCTTTTTCTGTATGTGAACAACTTTTCTACCAAAAATCTTGCTCCAATTATTAACTTTAGAGGCCATGGTTTCTTGTTAAAATTGTTGTCTGATTAGTGCAATAAGGAGGTTATTTTTGATTTTTTATTTAGTATTTTTAATTACGATAAAACCCTTAAAAAACGTCGAGAAAACTTGTAACTGTTACATTTTTTGCATCTGTTTTATTTTATTTTGTTTATTCAATGAAAAATAATCGTAGAGGTCACAAATTTCACTGAATATTTTTATAGGTGTAGTTTCTTATTTACAGCTCTTTCCAGACATGGTACCTTGTATCCTTTACTTCGTCCCATGCGTTCCAACTTGAAACAAATAGTAAAGGTACCTAAGCTTATATTTTTGAAAAATTAGTTGACGTACTCCGTCATCTGCGTCCCCCCTCAATTCGAGCACTGTCCACAGAAAAAATAAAAGATCATAAACGTCATTGTAAAAATAATACATTCCTTGCGCCGCTCAGAATCTAAAATATTTAAATAGGTATAAAATTAAATATAGGTACACTTTTACGTGTAAAATTAATGATAATATACAACATGATTCACTAAACGTGCGTAGTCCATTTTTTTGGTTCATTTTGCATTTATTAAAATTCTGATTTTTGGAATTTTTAAGTATAGTTAATGCCGATATTTACGAATACTTCAAGTTTATATATCATTTGAGTAGTATCCTGTGGTTTATATCACTTGATACCAACTTTTGATTTTCATATTGTAACCTATATTAAAAGTTCCATGTATAGATGTAGTATTATTTAAATAAATGTTGGTGCTAAAATTTTTTAATTCCGTCAACCCGTTGACAAGATATTTCACATTTAAGTTTTGGTAGGAGAGTAGTGGAGCACTAAAAAAACGCCGAGCGCCGTGCCGCTACACAAATAATACTTCTAATCATAGCCGTGCTCTTAATATATTACAATTATTCTATCCATGAATTGTATGCATTTTTACAACGTATACTGTATAGTTTTGAAAAACATCACAAAAATCGTCGGTGTCCGTGGATACCACCACTCAGCTATTCTTCATTGAAAAACTCGACCTCACGGTCACAAGGCATTGTATTGTATAGTGTCCTACTTAAATTATGATTTTGAAGATTAGAGATCTCTAATCTTCATGACTATGATCTATATCATATAGTAATACTCTTTGATCTATGTCCGTGGCACGTTCTAGTAGAAGAACTCTTTTAATCACGGTTTTAAAAGATAAAGATAAAGATCTTCTAACACAGTGCTCTTAATATTACAATCACTTCTCTAGTGTCCATATTAGATTCTTTTTTTTTTTTTTTTTTTTTTTTGAATCATATATTTATTTATACAATCTGTAAATATATATATGTTTACAATAAGTATAAGTGAGATAAGTAGAGGTTGGATTGCAGTCTTGATTGAAGAATCCATCTAGTGATGGAGCTTCATGACAGAGGTAAATATTTGATTCTAACACGAATAATTCATGTATTCTAATCATTAGAATGTCTTCAAAGGTATTGTTATCAGTAGAGATTTGATAAAGAACTTTATCAACTTTTTACCTTATTTTTATCACACATGTTTATCATATATAGATTACAGACAACCTTTTCTACTTTATTGTGCATTTTATATACGTTTATAAACTTTAGTCTTTAGTAGTTTAGTGTTCCGTTGTAATTTATAATTGTAAATTAATAGTTATTACTACGTTTTGTTGTTATTTAGTGTGGATATTGTTCGGACGTGTTTTATATTATTTAAAACTATTCTAATATTATTCAACATTTTTTTTATTTCCATTATTGTTTTCGTAGATTGGAATTTGTCGTTCTATCTATATGTCTACACTCCTACACAATTGACTTTTTGTCGCTCGTACCTATTTGATTAATTTCATTCATTTATAGTTTACCGAGAATATCTTCGAACGTATTGGACAATTTTCGTTTTCGTTATTTTGGCTTTTGAAAACACTAGTAAGTACTTCGTTCCTATTAATTACAATACTTTATTCTTTCTACATTATAATAAAATAAACAACGCCCTAATGCCTATAAACCTTACGATTTGATAAATTATCCTGATTATTTTTGTGCTGCGTGCAACTCTGTTATGTAGGAACTTTATAAATTGGTTTTTGTATTCTAGTATTAAGTGTCCGAGTTTTATTTATAATGCGGGCACAACGCCAATACATAAATTTGATTCAATAGATGTGGTTTTTTTTTGCTTTCTTTTATAGATTTATTATTTTAACATGACATGTAAAATTTGAATAGAACTTAATAGTCGCCTGTTTTCAATATTTGCCAACTTAGATCCATAGTTGGCGAAAAATAAAAAATATTTCTTATCTACATATCTCATGGACTTCCCAAGTACAGTATAGTGTGACTCATGCTGATTTCTGAACTGCAAATAACCAATTTTAATTAATGTGCTTGATTATTTTTATTTTCATACCTACCTAAATATTACTTTTAGTTGTTTTTAAAATGAAATATTGTTAAATCAATTTTTTTTAATAATTACAAAGTATTTTGGTGAAAATATAAAAAAATAAAATATAATAAATATTTTCTTAACATTTAATTTTAAATATTTTATATCTAACCAAAATTAAATATTTATAAAATTGGATTGATTGAAACATGATGTGTGACTCATTATGTATATTATGGCCTTTTATGCATTGATAAAAAAATATAAATTAAAGGAATTACCAATCTTATTAATAATTGATTTTTGTAATTTTAACAACTACCTACTAGTTATAAATAATTGTACAAGGTACGGACATTACAAGTTTAGTTTTCTTTTAGTCAATCAAGCTTAAGTCATAACCATTTATTATTCACCTCTAGGTATATACATTTTTTTTTTTTTTAAATTCAATTTGTTAAAAAATAATAATAAATAAAAAATACATTTCAATTGCTTGTATTTTTAATGAGTTGTGTCATAAATTTGGATTTAAAACTCTTATATTCAAAAAGTTTTATATATTAATTTCATAATATTTTATACAATACTTACTAAAATTAATATATTTTGGGTTTTATTTTTTTCAACCATTTATTGTAATTTAACAGGCTTTTAAAACTTACCATCATTAAGATATATATTACTTAATGGGCATCATATCTAGACATATAGAATAATTTTAAATTCCTGTTTCTCAGCTAATTTTTGACTTAGAAAAATGATTAAACCATTCAAATTCATACAAAATTAACTATTGGTGTAAACGGGAGGTGGCCATTCAAGAAAAACTAAATTGCATTGTATATGCTTATATCTAATCAACAGTAATAAATTCTGAATGCATACAAATGTTTATTACTAAATATGACAATTAACCAATTAACTGAAAAAATAAAATTTAAGTTTTATTCAAGAATTCTAAGTAGTTTCAGTAAGCATTTCCACATTGTATATTATACTACTAGAAATTATGGTTATGTATACAAGTGTGTAGTAAATTATAATTTTAAAAAATATCTTTTATTTTAATTGTTCATGAGTGGTTGCTATAAGGGAAATGATTAAGAAGATTAAAAAACAAACTTTAATTCATCAATTATTGCCTTTAAATGCTAGCTCTCCTAGGCAAATTTTGAACATAGGTATAAGCAAAATTTTATTGAATTTCTTAGTTAACAAATTTTACCATTAGGCAAGTTACAACCATTGACCATTATGTCATGAATTAGTAATTATGAGTCACAGTTTGTATTGTGTATTATTACCATGGCAATAGTTGTTCATATATTTTAAAGTCATTATTATCTATATTACAAACATATAACAATAAAGATGGGTATATGATACAACTATAATATTATAGTTTATAATTAAATACAAACTATAATATGTTGGTACATCATACTTTAACTAGCTTAACTGTAATTTTATTGAAATCTAGAGTTTTGGTGCCTATCTGTATTAGTAACAAAACTTTTTTTTTCAGAACAAATAATTATCTGTTAATTAATACAACAACAGAAAATGTATTCTAATCCTAATACAGCACCACCGCCAGGTATGTTATATTAATTAATTAAACGATCAAAACATTTTATAAAAGAATTGTATATCATATTGTACTAATATTTTATTTATTTATTACCCCATGCGGCAGTTTGGTAATAAACTTTATTTTTTCATGATGTAATATGTAAAATATATGCATATTATTCTTTAGGTTTTTCTCCATATCCACCATCTCAAAATCAGTATCCACCAGCTGCTAACCAAATTCAATATCCACCAGCTGCTAACCAAAATCAATATCCACCGGCTGCTAACCAAAATCAATATCCAATGTCAGCCGGTCAGCAAATTCAACCCTATCAACATGATCAATATAATATGTATCAGCATCAACAAATGCCCATACAACATAATCAAGGATATCCTATTGTTCAAAATTCAAACTATCCACCTCCATATTCCCAATCAGGTTATGGACAGGTTATTCAACAACAGCCTAATACTCATCAACCAGTTCCTCAAGCTGCAGCAGGTAGGTTTTATTATTTATTTAAAAGCAGTTTTCACTGAAGATTGTGATTTAATCTATATACCTAAAAATATAACACAATAAGAAATAAACAGAAATAAAATTGTATACTCATCATTGCATATTATAAGTATCTACACTACATATTTACCTAATGTAATACAGATTTACTAATTAATGGTAAATAATGCATATTATAGTCATATTCTCTCAGAAAAATCAATATAGTAATTAGTATTAACTTCCTTCTTCCTCTCTTTTACTAAGGACTATACTATCCATACTATTTCCAACTGATCTCCATCTTTGTTATAAAATTACACTTCATCCTATTTCCCACCTCGTATACTCTGACTTGTCTTTGTATTATTCTCAATTGGATCCAAATCCCTTTTTCTAGATTATTCTTCCTAGTCTATTTTCATTTTGATTCTTACTACTTCATTTCCTTAATCCTAATGACATACCTAATCTATCTCAGTATATTTTTTTTTCTAAGTTACTTCTTTTGTACTAATTTCTTAATCTATCTTCTAGCTACTCTATTCATTCACCTAAGAATTCTCATTCTCTGTTCTAATTTACTGTCTAATCATTAGAATTCTCTTGTCACATAAAACACCTGACACTTCTTTTTCTCCACTTTAAACAACCACTTTTAATCATATGTTTTCTATCTCTATTATTACTTATAGTAGTTAACTGTTCTCCAAACTCAAATTCAGTTTTACATTTACTTACACTTAGTCTTTTTTCATCTTTCTATTTGAAATTGTCTCCTATCAAAGTTGTACCATCTGTAAACATCATGCACCCTGGTAGCTCCTTTAAGCAGTTGTTCCCATGCACATCAGGGATGGATAAATCTACCAAAACCTTGTTTACAACTTCTCATACTGTTTGCCGGAATTTCACATTGGCTGTCGACCTAATGTAACCCCATTTGTTGCCTTTTACAACAGGTAGAGGTACCGTGAGAGTATTCTGGTCTATTCTACTGGAGCAATACCATATGCCAACTGGAATCACCTACTTGGGCTTTTCACTTGGAGTTCAGGGCCCTGGGTTCACTAAACTCTTATTATAATATACCCCTTAAAATCGCATTAGTATTATTACTATATTAGATATAAACCAACAACATGCATATATCATAGAAGCAATTTTATATTTTCACAGACGGTTGGATGCCAATTCCTCAAATTATACCACAAAATTGTCCAAATGGTCTCCAGTACCTTTCAACAATTAATCAATTGCTTGTTAAACAAGAATTGGAAGTTATAGAAGGTAAACAAGTAAATTAAATACTAATATATTAGTTATTTGTAATAATTAGATTTTCTGTTTTTGTCTTACACACGTTCAACTTAGGAATTTAGATATGTTCCATTTCCAACATATCAATTGGTCTGGTAAAGTGATAAGAATTCTCAATTAACAGACCAAATTAATTATTTATCACTTAATTTTTACTTTCAACAAATATAGAAGTATCATATGGAATCAATTTATCTTTTCAAAATATTTTTCTAGCGAAAAATGTTTAAATTCTATATTGACAATTTAAAAATATTATAAGTAATCATAATAAATATGTAAATAATTTTTTATAGATAACAGCGACCTTCCCAATGTATGAAATTGTGTTTTTTTTTTTTAACTTTTTCATTTTTATTCAGTTTATTTGTCTAAATGATTCTTACAGCTTTATTGGGTTTTGAAACGAACAACAAGTATAAAATTAAAAATAGTGCTGGTCAGAAAGTATTTTATGCAGTGGAAGACAATGACTGTTGTACACGGAATTGTTGTGGTCCTATTCGACCATTTGAAATGAAAATCTTAGACAACTTTAAGAATGAAGTAATCCACTTATCAAGACCTTTAGCATGTCAATCTTGCTTTTTTCCTTGCTGTTTACAGGTAAAACAATTTGTTAAATTATCAATCATCAATTTGATGATGGTATTATTATTCAAACATATCGCATTTGAAAATTTAGTATATTTATGTATTGTGTATTCAAATTTTTGATACAATATATTTTTTCATGTGTAAAGAAAATTGTAGTATAAAAATGTTTTATATTATATTTGTATTTTTAACAGAGAATTGAAGTATTTTCACCACCAGGTTGTTTGGTTGGAACAGTTGAACAGGATTGGTCTATTTTGACACCTATGTTTACTATTCGTAATGGAGCTAATGAAGAAGTGTTAAAAATTGAAGGACCAATTTGTCGTTTCGGCATGTGTGGTGCTGATGTTGAATTCAAAGTAATATTTTCAATAGTTGTAATTAGCGAGCTTAAAATAAGAGAGTGATTACCGGTGCCATAATTTCTGATTGGTTCTCTTTATCAATGATAAAATTTCATTCATACAATATTATTGATTAATATTTAAATGTTATTTTAAAAGTTTTCAAATAGGTACAATGTATAATACAAAATTTAAATTAGGTGCAAGTTTAATTACCTACCTATTTATGTATTTATTAGTTTAGAGAATGTGATCCCAATCCTCCTTTACAGTCAAACCAACAAGTAATATTTGAAAATTACATTTATGCAGGCTGAGTAAAAATTGCTTAATTTTAGTTTTTTGGTACCACATCTTTGTGTAATATTTTATAATATATGCTATAAAGCATCTAAAAATGAATTATTTTCATCAAATTATTTCAATATCAGATGCCAGAATGCACAGCTTTATGTTGTGAGAACCCAAGAGATTTTTAATATTAACAAATTGAAGATAATAAATTTAATAGATTTTCACATTTTTCCTATTTATTAAGAAAACCTCTGGAAAAATCAAAATGACCTCTCTAAAGTATCATCCAGATAAAATTTACTTTCAAATAAATAATAGGGTGGCTAGGAAGACAATTGCTAAGGAAGGATTTATTTTAAACTCAACTCCTAAAGGTTGAAAAGAAAATATATGTTATGTTACATTTATAGGACAACAGCGGTTTTAACTTCAATGATAGGGATAGGGATGGAAATAGAAAGCCACAGAGCAAGAAATTTTTCTTTTTTTTCCTTAAATACAGTTATGTGTAAAGCCGGGTGAGATAAATAATAACAATACAGCATATAATAAACGGAAAATAATGACTGTAGATAATCATAAAATCAACATATAAACAGTAAAATGTATAAAAAATAGTAATCGCATGGGTTATTTCGGTTGTTGTTTTTTTAAGGTACAATACTATATGTATAAGTATTAATAATTCCATTATATATATATATATATATATTAATTATTTACATATATATTTCATTACAAAATGAACACTCCTTAATGGACTAAATAAATATCCTTTCCAACAACAAGGTACTCTTTCTTGCTCACTCAAATATAGGCTTGCTTGTGGATCACTACATATTATATATTTTTCCGAGTTTGTTTGAAGTTACAATCTGTCCCTGTTACTGATACTTAGAATTTAGTCTATGTGATAATAATGTTTGAATGAATAATTACAATATGGCACTATCCATATCTATTAATAAAAAAATGCTCTCTAGTTGTAATCATGTTTGATAAAGAAACCGATTAAAAAAATAACTTTTGCCATAGATATTATCTAAAGATCAATCGACTGTAGTCGGGCGTATATCAAAACAATGGTCAGGACTATTAAGAGAAGTATTCACTGATTCTGATTATTTTGGTATAACTTTTCCTATGGATCTTGATGTTCGTATGAAAGCAGTTATGATGGGCGCTTGCTTTTTAATTGTAAGCTAAATACATTTAATAGTTATATATTTCTTTTCTTTACTTAATTAAATACAATTATAATCATTGCATTCTTTAACTATTAATTACGTTTTGCAGGATGTCATGTTTTATGAAAAGCGAGGTAATCGAGAATCTGATGGAATTGGTCTTTGTTAATTTACTTATTGACGTGGTTGTATAGCTAACTGTACTGCTTATGATTGTGATTTCAATATGTATAATCAAATGTAATATGTTACAATATTTAACATTCAAAATTCACACAAAAGGCTACATAATAATTAATAAGAATATCACAAAAGAATTTATTGTTAAAAAAAGTTACTACTTAATATATACTATACACTATTCACTACTGTTCTTATCATTACATTATTTCTATCCATTTAAAAAGTATACTATTTTTATAATATATTATTTATTACTTGATATCTTGGAATTAAATTTGCATTATGTATTCAATTAGATATGTTTGATAATTTAATTTGTAAACCACAACATTTGATATATTTTTTTATTATGTTCATGTAAGTTATTGTAATTTGTTTTATCTGAACAATAGTTTCTAATACTTAAATTTTTTCAAAAATTATAATGCAAATTGTGAATTAGATTATTTTTTTATTTTAAATGTCATATTGTAACCAAAATTTGAACAAAAAGTTCATTCTGCTTTAAATATTAGGATAAAAGTCTATTAAATTTATTGTAAATGGGTTTGATAATATTAAACCAAAAGCATTTTGTAATATTACACATTTTTAAAGTATATTTGACTAATAGTCTGAGTAGTCACTTTTAACAAATAGTTTATATTGTATACCTAATTATAATTACCAATCGTTTGTTGTTCAAACTTTGATTATGATATGTCAATATTTTCAGAAAAACCATTCGATTCACAATTCACATTAAAATATGTAGGTTGAAAAACTAAAGTTTGTGCTGACTCAAAATACTTCTAAATTTGATAAATCTAAATACAGTGAAAACTATATAACATAACTAGTTCATCATAATGGTTTGTTTGATATACAATCTATTAATAAACTTATTCTTTAAAGCGTAATGGTCACTCCCAATAACAAAACAATATTTTATGTTTCATAATACAATTTTCGTGTTATCATATTATAAATTATAAAAGATAAATATTTTACAGATTATATTCTTTTATCTACTTTTATCATCGTAATAATTAGATATTAATCGATTAATATGTATGATAATTAATAATACATTCATATTTAATAATTTTGTTTTTACATTATTATTTTATTACATATATAGGTATTTTCATACATAAATACTTTAAATTTTGTGTTTTTTTTAAACCCTCTTTTTTTATTACGAAAACTATAAAAGAAATTTATTGGTCCCTTCAAATTCGTTATAGTTTTCACTGTATTCTCAAATTTTGTCTCTACTTACAAATTACAAAAATCAAAATTTAAATGTATGAATAACTTAACCATCTGTTTAGTTTGATCAGTTTTATAGAATCGTCCTGTTACTAAGTGTTATATATAAGTGTTAAGTATATAATATACTGAGTTGTTAAATAATGTTAGTAGAAGCTTTAATAATTAACAATTTTTAACAAATATTTACCAAAATTATTAATTAATAAAAATAATAATATTTATAAAATATTAATTATTTTTATATGCTTATTATACGATTTTTATATTCTAATTTTGATAAATTTAAAATTTATATTAATATAAGAATCCTTGAACAAAGATTCACATTTCTCAGGGTTATTATTTGTCTTTATTTATCATCAATTATTTTTCTTATAATTTTATAACTAAAACCATTAAAATATTTTATTTTATTTGTATACTAATATTTATTTGTCATTATTTTCCTAACATTTTAATGTTTTTAAGTTGAAATATTTGTTTTTACAAATAATTTATACAACTTAACTATAGTTCATTTAAAAATTTTGAAATGTTTGTATGTCTTGTGAATTCTTAGTATTTAAATTGTAATAACCATTAAAATTAAATTATATAAAATATTTTTAAAATCAAATTATATTTATTGATATATTTCTTCACTATTTTTTTTTTTTTTATAATTTTTTTTTTAACTACTTAAGTAAACTATTTATCTGTAATTCAAAAAATTAACATATTTATATCCAACACAAATAATTTTAACTGCACTTTTTTTAGTTTTTTTTTATTATTTTACTCCACTAGAATTGTCAATGCATTTGAAAATAATAAATAATGTACCCTATTCATTATCTATTTTATTTGTATACAAGTTTAAATATATTTTTAAAATAAAATAATGATGTAACAATATTTAAAAGATAAAATAATAACTTTAATGATCACACATTTATAACACTTGCCAATGTTTTTTTTTTCCAAAATATCTCGGAAATCAATATGGTTTAGACCGGGTTTAGGTGTGGAGAATACATTATATGAGGTAACACAATTTATATATAAAGAATTGGTACAATGATAATAAAATTTTAACTGTCTTCTTGGATCTAGCAAAGGCTTTTGACTTCATACATCATGATATTCTTTTTAAAATTCTACCTACTTTCGGAATAAATAATCACAGTATATTTTATTTTGATTTAAGAGCTATCTTGTAGAAAACAAATAGTAAAATTAAATATTACAAGTAATTAAAACTTTATAACATATGGTGTCCCTTAGGGTAGCGTGCTAGGGCCATTTCTATTTATATTATACATAAATGCGGCTTGTAAATTAAAAACCGATGGCAAAATAGTAACGTATATTTATGATATTTGCCTATTATTCACAGACAATTGTTGGGATAACGTACATCTTAAAGCTACGGAAGGTTTAAACCTAACGTATAAATATTTAAATAAAATACGCTTGACTATAAATTATGATAAAACTATGTATATGAATTTTTCAATAAATAAATGTAATACTTACGGATCTCCATTAATAATCCATGATTGTAACACCTCTACAAAATTTTATCCTTGTATAAACTTATACAAACTTGTATACAAATAAAAAATATACACAAAATCTGTTATCTAAGTATAATTTCAGATAATAACTTAAGATGGGACCTACATATCAATAATTTAGTTTGTAAGCTACGTACAATATTATATAAATTCATTAAACTTAGAGATTTGTTATCAGTACAATTTTTATGTAATACTTATTTTGTTTTTTATCAAAATGGTCTTCTAGTTTGGGGAGGTGCTAAAGACAAAAATATAAACATTCTACAACAAAATCAAAATAACACACTAAGAATAATTATGTAATCTATTTAATTATTGCTTCATATAAAATCAAGTTCATCATTATGTCTGAATGTAACTTTCTATTTCATCACAAGCTATAGCTTACAGGAGTAGATTATATTTTATATTATTACGTATGTCATATATGTGTTTAATTAAATGAAATATATAAAAAAAAAAAAATTAGAGCGGTTTTTGTAATATCGGGGAAAACAAGGATAAAACATGATAATAAAGACGGTCATATTTTGGCCGTGGGTACGGCCACTGTTGTAGGTGGAAAGTTGGGAAGGTAGGATACAGACGGAAATTTAATGTATATCTGTAAGCAACGATAAACCATTGCTAATGAAAAAACGATTCTGAACGAAGTTCAAAATTCCAAAAATCAGAATTTGAATGTATATACAATTTAGAAAAAAAAAAAAAATGAGCACGCTTAGTGGATAAACACAGGGTGCTGTGTATTGTTGACTAATAAATCGTTTAGGGTTGTTTACAGATATACATTAATTACTTCTTTTTCAACTTTTCACCTATAAAAGTGGGCGTATCTGTTCTCATTATCCTAGAACAACCTAACTTAACCTTTGAGGTCATTTTTCGATTTTCTCAGAAGTTTTCTGAATAAATATGGAAAACTGAAAAACGGGAAAATGTATGAAATGTAGGTATTAGTTGAAATAAAAATATTACGACCTTTTTTTAAAATTATGTACTAATATAATTTAAATATCATTTATTCACAAGAATATAATTTGTATCGATTATTTGAAACTACTGTTGTATAATAGTTGTACAATATAGAAACATAATCGTGAAGTTTTATCGTTTGTTAATTTTGACAAATAGGTGACATAGATATTAAAAAAGAAAAAAAACAAATTCCTTCAATGATGCAAAAGGTTGAAAAAAAATCATAGCTTTGTGGGTCGAATTACATCAATGAGCCTATTTTGAACTATTCATCGATATCATCGTCACTCGAAATGTATATGGGCTCATCATAATGTGATCCATACGTGGTGAGTATGCCATAATAGAATGGTACGGTACGGCTACATCTATAAGTGAACAAACGTATTATTATTTCATTTCATACTTACTAAATTTTCAAAAATATAAGTATTATTAAACATTTGTCAAGATTTGTTAATACAGGTTTTTTTTTTTTTTTAATTATCGAACATTATTAGTTACGATACTATCAAATATACTTACGACAGTGACACTGGACTCAACGCACGTGATAGTTCATGAGAAGAAGAACTAATCGTTTCAGCATCGTCGTTATCACTCGCCGAATTACTGAGAATAATAATATTATTATTTTTTTTTTATAGTATGTTTAAGAGTATTGAACAATATTAGTGAAGATACTATCAAATATACTTACGACAGTGACACTGGACTCAACGCACGTGATAGTTCATAAGAGGAAGAACTAATCGTTTCAGCATCGTCGTTGTCACTCGCCGAATCACTGAGAATAATAATATTATTTTTTTTTTTTTTATAGTATGTTTGAGAGTATTGAACA